GGAGTAATAGAGAGGAGGTGATTTTGGTGTATTAGTAAAGTTACTCCACTTGTGATTTGGAAGTCGTGAATTTAAACCATGAAGCAACTATATATATGAAGCAACTATATATATATATATATATATATATTATATATATATATATAATTATATATATATTATATATATATATATATATCATATATATATACAACCCAACTCCATAAATATGAGATGTTTTTACGTAACTCAAATCACATTTAATGTTATTTGGAAAAATTAAATTTATTATGGTAGCTATTTAGTTGATCTTGCAGCGTTTAGCTAGTAAGTACTTAAGTAACTTTTAAAAAGTTAAACGTTAAATAATTAATTTTTTATAAAAATATATATAACAACCTTCAACTCATAAATATGAGATGTTTTACGTACTCAATCACATTTAATGTTTATTTGGAAAAATTAATTATTATGGTAGCTATTAGTTGATCTTGCAGCGTTTAGCTAGTAAGTATTTAAGTAACTTTTAAAAGTTAAACGTTAAATAATTAATTTTTTATAAAATATTACTTTAACCTTTAAAAGCTAATTCAAATAATATATTATTAAATATTATAATAAATAACATGCTATTTAAAAAGTTATTGCGAATCAACCAGGCCGCGGATATGCGGCAGCTTGGAGACGCGAACAAAGGATGATTGTAGAATTGGACTTTTGTGGAAAAAGGAGTTTTGGCACTATAAGACCTTTTGTGCCAAGCACTTTCTTTCTGGTTCACACATATCCTCAGGATATTCCTTTGTCTTTTTGCGTATGTCAATTGAATGTCGACATTGGCAGCACCACTTTACCAGTGTCTACAGCTTCAAAAATACACACAAACTATTTCATGCAGTGAAATAAAAGAGTAAGCGATCAAATAACTATTTTATAGAATAGAATGCGCATTCTTCACTCTATAAAATTTGTGTTTTATAATTAAAAAAAAAATATCTATATTGCATATAAATAAGCTATATATAGGGTAAAGATTTAGTATTTCTTGAATAATTATCTCACGTTTAAACTTAAAATAAAGTTCGAAATATAGTTATTTTATAGGGATCACTATTTTATTTCTTCTGATGTGAAACTTTGAAATTTGTGTTTTGACACTCCAAAATCAGATCGATATAAAAGCCTAAATCTCGAGAAATTTCTGCTTAGATCAGAATTATAGAAACTAACACAATAAACTAGAAGTATGAACTAAAGACATAAGGTGAATAATCGAATACCACAAAAAATAATTATCTTTGATAAGTTTGAATAGTAAATTCAACGAAGAACTGAAGATAATTTGTTCTCTTGAAATTTCAATTAAATAAAACGCATAAAATTTTTATTTCTACCTTATACTACCAAAAAACTTAATATTTTATAAATTAAGAAATCCTAGAAACTAAATAAAACATATACCTCATTATCATTTGATATTTTATGGCCCCCATTGTTATTTTTTCACAACAATTTTCATTTGAAGTACTAAATTATTCAATGGAATTATCATTAATGTAAAGATTTTATTAATACAAGTAAAACCCTACACAAGATTTACATAATCTTGATGATCAATGGGGACCCCATCTAGCTAGCCTGAACACATTGACCTCCTACACTATGATTCACACAGTTGTCCCTGATTACTTTTAGATTAATTTCATGAAATTAAAAGATTGGATTGCTGATAACGTAATTAACATTAATTAATTAATTAATAATATTATTTTTAAGCATCCTATGAAGGCACAAAGAATATTCTTCTAAAACACAAAGGGCAATATAGTGATTAAAATTCCAATATTACCAAATCAACCTGTTCTCCCATATAAATGCATTAACCCACTAACTTCTTGAAAATTAAGTCTAAAACCAGAGAGGAAAAAGGAAAATTGTATATATATATATAATGAAGGGAAGAAAATCATCATCATCAACCTCCATTAATATGTGGTGGCATTCTCCAAATCCATATCTATTTGGGAGCTTAGCTCTAACGTTAATAATGATAGGAATGGCATTGGTTATGGTAGCAATCTCCTTCTGTAAAGATTCTGCAAATTCTGAAATATATATTTCAGAATCTGAAGCTCAGCCGAAGATTGTTGTGATTATGGCAGGTGATGAAAAACCAACATATCTAGCAACTCCGGTCACCATTTCAACCTCTGATCAAGTGTAAAGCTATATGCTATACATTTATGTAATTTTGTAATTGCTTCCAATATTATTTTTGACTTAATCTATTATAATAGTACGTATTAATTACCCAACAATACAATTTTTTTATCATATTAATCATTTTTTTTTTTTTTGTTTCTTTATTGCTTTTATGCTTGCTTAATTCTTTTCCTTTACGTGTACAACCTACGTTGGGTAAATGCTTCCATCCTATCTAATAATTAATTTTGTCTTAAAAGATATATTGTTCGCCCTAGCTAGAAGAACCAGGAGAAATGATGTATTGTTCACTCTATAAGAACCAGATGAAGAAAGAGATTGAGAAATTAAAGAAAGAAATAATCAGAGATTTGAGAGAAAAAATAACAATTGCAGCGACTAATGAAATTAAAATTATTAGGTTATATATTGATTAAGGTTTAATTATTCGTATTAATTGGTTATTGATGGCAAGTTTTTGATGAATGTTGTTTGGTATTAAAATTTTTAGTAGTTTATAATTATTTTGTATCATTATGTTTCTAGAGTGAATATATTATATTTATTTTAACGTATTATATAAATAAAAATATTAATTAAATTTCTATATTATTTTTAAATAATTATAAATAAAATGATTACATAAAAGTTTAAATTTTCTTAAAATTTTTAGTAGTAATTATTTTACAATTTTAATATAGTCTAAATATAATATAAATATAAATGAACAAGCAACTAAAAGGAAATGGCAAGTTGGAACTTCCAGTAGCTATCAATCCTCACCAAACACCTCCAATGCCCCAGTTGTTGGATGCAAAACCTCTAACATTTCGAGCTGGATGCAAACTCAATACAACTTGTTTTTACAATGTAACTTACCATTTATATATGCATATACACTTATCCCTAGGATTCTACTTTAATTAGCAATTTTACACTAAAAATACGTATAATACCTAACAGAAAGAGAGAGAAAGGACGACCCATGTTAGTGATGTCGATATAATGTAGCCATAGGCAGGCCATGTGGGTGGGCTGAAATTTAGGGTCTTAGGCGTCAATGATGGATAATTTGCATACAGTAAGTTGTTCTTCTTTTTGAAAATTAATGTTAGTGGACGCGGCGGTTTGTAGACGCAAATACAGAGGTTAGAGATGATTGTGTATTTGAATGGCTTTAAAAAAAGGCGTCTTTGACTCTTTGTGACTGTCAATAATGGGAGACACCAATCTTTGGCTGACTGATTGTTGTATAAAATTTATTTTTCGTGTCAGATATACCTTTAGGATATTCGTCTGCCAACCTATTTTTTTATATATAAAAAAAGTTAGCGATTGAAAAATGGTTAATAAATAAAATTAATATTTTGAAAACTGAATTGATGATTGAATCGTAGAGAAAAAGATTCACTGAATTGAGAATTCAATCAAATTCAACACGATTAATTGAAATATATGATATTTTTAAATATAATTGAAAATATATGAGTTATAAATATTTGATAATTTGAAAAAAAAAATAAAAATGTTCAATTTAAATATAAATATTTTTTAAATATACATATTTTGTTAAATATTTCAGATTAATTTAAATAATAATGAGAGTTAATTGTAATAATCAATTATTGACTGCATCAAACGGTAAGTTGGATAAATATTGAATTGCCATCAACACGAAACGTCAGACTTGGTATATGAGCTGTCAACTTAAATGTTAATGAACAATTTTATACAATTATTTCTTCGCTCTTTTTTTCTCTTATTTTCCCTCTTGCCAAACAGTAAAAAAACCTTAATCATCCACTCTAGTAAGATGTACAATTAGTATTAGAGTTTGCTCTTGCTTTAACTTTTTGTCTAATATTTCATAGGAAAACATACATAGATATAAATAGTGGAGAATGGATATTTTTCATATATATTTTCTATATGGATATTCTTTAAAAATATAGTATACTTTTTTTTATTTTTCTTGCTATTAAAAAAATTAAGATAGTTTTGAATGACTAAGGGCTTATTCGGCAATTTTAGCATTCTAGTAGAAATTAGTTGTAATAACTGTCAGCTATTTTACTAGCTGCTGGAGGTTAGATATTAGTTGTTGGAGGTTATAGAAGTGTTCGGTAATAATAAGTGTTTGATTAGCTGTTTAATATAAAAAGATAAAAAAATGGTAAGATGATAGAGAACAAGAAAAACAAGTGATGGACATAGGAGTCATAAAAATTTATAAAATGGTAAACACTAATGAGCATAACTTTTTGTGACATATTACCTCAAACTCTAAACGTTAAAATAAATGTGACGTTATCGAACACAATAATTAATTAAAATAATATTTTAACTCAATCAAAACACTAAATACTACTCCAAATACTTTTGCAGAACAGAGCCTAAATATAAAATAATAACAAAATAACCTTTCACTTAATTTAAAAAACTGTACTATTAATCTGTTTTACATAAAATAAATCATAAAAAAATATAAACTGGTTTTTGTGAATCTAAAATTGAAGGAAAACTTTTCCCTCATACATTATTGAAACATTTCCCTGTCGTCTACAAATTAGAAGGTCTCTTTTCCTTCAACGGGGAAGGAGTCGAAGGACAGGAAAACTTTTCCTTCTGGTATGGAAACTGCTGAACACGTCATTTGTGTTTTTGTTCTCATTAACAATGGTAGAGGAGGGAGAGCCATCATCTGATTCAGTACTCAAACCAAAGAAAGAAGAAAGGATAATTGTAATTATAAAAGTTCATATTTAAAAGTTTGAAGCCTCACCCAGCAGCCTAAGTTAATTAGGGTCTAACTGAGGGGATTCAAACTTGTAATTTCACAATTTTACAGTACATTAATTAAACGAGAACCCATTAGCAAGAACTCGTCCCCTTCTATGGAAGTTAATAATGTTGCAATTCCCTTTATTGACACAACAGTGCAGGCACTACGTACTAGACTATTTAGTAATTAACTTAATTCTGCAAAACTGGTAACCATTCCAAGATTTCCTGCAGAAGCTTTCTTTACAGTATTGGTTTCTAGTTTCTGCTTCCAACAGTATTAAAAGTTAGCCGTCCTGGACGTTCCTTGACGATGGTTGTTGGTTTCCATTCTGACATCCATAGTGCAGAAACCTTTCTAATATGAAGCCGATATTTCTGGAATTAAGTATGAGACTTTGAATCATTTTTCTCTGCCAAAATTTAATAAAAGCTATGCGCAGATATAGATACGAAGAATGCTAAGTTGCTATCAGGTTTGCATATTATAAAACCTGCAAATGGCTTTTTACTTGATCAATTGTGAGCCCTTCAAGTTTCATGACTTCTTTTATTTGCTTTGGAGTTGCAGCTGCTCGAAAACAACATCAAATTCAAAGAAAAAGAAATTGAAGAAAAAGAACACTTCTGCAAGAAATTAGTATAATTTTTTTTGCTTTACATGATTCAAATTCCGGGTAAAAGTTTTTGATTTCTTTTTAACCACACTGCTTAATTAAGCACTCACCTTCAGGACCTCCAAGAAATTCCAGGGCGTCCACAAACCTGGAATGAAGTTCTGTTGTCCAAATTATTCTGTTGTTTTTACCTCTAGGCTTACCTCTAGGCATTAACAACATTTGCTTGGCCCGAAAATTCAATGTCTGATCATTCGCTCTGATCACACTCAAGCTGCCATATCCTACGCTTTTTTCAGGCTCCTCAACAGCCTGTTTAATTACAAACTGTCATCAGCTTAGAGATACTTCAATGGCAGAAAAAACTGCAAATAGTTTTTTTTTTTCACAAAGATCCAAGTTGATTTTTTTTCCCCTTTCTAGGCAAGATGAGGAGTGTACTTACCAAGAAATCACTCATCTTAGAATCTGTTTGGTATAATGTCCTTTCTTTTGGTTTTTTTTAATAATAAAAATATTATTTTTAGAAAAAAATTTGGTTCTTTTTGCTTAAAGATGTTAAGTCATGAAAACATTTCGGAGTTCATATGGGACTCATTGCATTAGTGATACTATAATTGTAATTTTTTTCTCCTTTTTCACTTTTTTAATCAAGCTTTGCGCCTAAAATCCTGAAACGATAATAGTTTCACATAGAAAAGTATATATAAGGTAATTGTGATAATACTAAAATTAAGGGTTGCACCTGAATTTTAATTTCTTCAGGATCAAAAATTTCCCTCTGCATTATTTCATAGCCTCTCCTCTTCATTGCAAAAAACTCCATTACACCCCGTTCGTCACTACCGGGCTCAAATCCAGTTCCCTTCTTAATGTTCAGGACCGCCTCCTTCAGTGTCTCAATAGCTATATATACACACATAACCAAAATTTTAAAAACAGTAGTAATAATATTAACAAAATAAAAATCACAAGAAACTCATACAAAAAGATCATAAATCTAAAATCAAATAAAAAGAAGAAGAAAGCTGACCATCCAGAATGAGCAACATGCATTGAGGAAGTTCATTTTTAAAGAGTTGAACTTTTGAGAGTTCTTCTTCATGCTTTTTAAGAAAATTATTCAGAATTGTCAACTTCTCTGATGAGCTATCAATTTTTGATAATTCTTTCAGCAGGTTGGCTATGGATTTGGGAATATAAGAACCAGAGGTTTTAAGACTCAATCTCATCTCTGAAGGAGTACAAGAACCCATTTCTTTTATTTTTGTTCTTTGAAAGTCTTAATCAATCTCTCCTTTTGGAGAATCATATAGACTGCTAGGACTTAATATATATAGAGAAGGAAAAACAAATGTAGAAAGGATGGAATTTATAGGATTCAAAAACTGAGGTACATATTTGAAAGCCCATGTTGGGAATTTCCTTTATTTTAATTTTAATTTTTATTTATTGCCATTGAGTCTGCTGAACTCTTTCTTCTTTTTAATGTTTAGCTAGCCAAAATTAGTAAAAAGTAATGTTAGTAATTACTAATCAATGGTACCAGATTATGTTCCAGGCAATGCAAATTTATATATGTATATAAAAATATTCTAGACTGTGTAAATTTATAAAAAAATAAATTGTTTGACATTGAAATTAATTCTAGTTTTACAAATATATCCATTTGAGATTAGCTCGTGTTTAATGTTTTTTTTTTTGAAAGGGAGCTCGTGTTTAATGTTAACTGTAGTTGAAAAAATATGTGTTGGATCGAGCGCTGCCACAATCTTGACTAACAGTATTTTAGTGAAGAAATTATTTAGAAAATTATTAAATGTAAGTAATGCGAGCGAGAAGAATTAATCATAAATTTACCACCTTAAATATGTAAAACTAGAATCAGTAAATATGTAACAATTGAATAGCTTTTGATATTCATCCCACAATTATCCAAATAATCGAAGGTTAGATCCTCATGGATAGAGTAAATACTCACCGAGAGCGCTTTACTCTTTAGTAGGTCGATCTGGTACAAACAGGAGTTAATTCTAACCCAGTGGACTGGAGATGCCTGGGTTAAAACTAAAACAAATAAGGGTAGGTTTAATGTTGGCCAGAGAGTTTTGACTTACTAAGCTAGAACTTGTGCAATTATACGCCCTAAGCCAAGTTCATACTCTCTGTGTGTTTACCTAAAAGATTTCGACCCAATTGTTTGGTTAATTGCAAATGAAAAGTTTTAACCCCTTAAACTTGGTTAATTTCAAAAGTTACGATTTCAGGTTTAATCCTGATATGGAGTCTATTTCTGTTAATCCAATCACCTGTCAAATTTAACTTTGATATATAGTCTACTTCTACGAATCTAATCAGCTGTAGAGTACATAAATTTCTTCTCACTTTGCTCATAAATACTAACTTAAGAAGGAAAATCTGAGCAATTAATGAAATGTCAGAAAAGCCTTCGAGACCATCACACCAAATGTATGATATTGGTAAAACTATACAACTCAATTTAGTGTCATTTGTCAAAGAAAATATGAATTGTTGCAGGAATACACAGCCACGTTTCTCTATCTCTTCAACCTTATCATCTACTCATTGGAATTCAGATTCCCACTTGAAACTAACTTGTGCAGGTGGGTTTTGATTCCCTTCTGAACTAACTTTGACAAGTGTTCATCGAAACTGAACCTACTTTCTTTCCCTTAACCTAATAATGGAAAACTCCAATATTTAAATTCAATTATGCAAAAACAAACCAGCACATGGAAAAAGTAGCAAGCAGTTTCTACTTTTTGGATGAGAAATGAATAAGGCTAAATGCTTCCAAATTGTATACCAAATAAAAGTTCATTATAATTTATAAAATCACCAGGAATAGTCTTTCTGTTTTATGACAGTAATGCTTGCCATGCATGCACTGAGAGTTCTTTTATCTATTAAAAGAAACAAAGAAAAGGAAAAGTATATAATTGAAGTACTTAAGATTGTCTTCCATGGTGATGATGCTGGCAACAGGTGGCCTTGAGAAGAGAACAACTTTGATTACTCAGTTGTATTATATTGAGAGCTCCTCCAGATAATCCTGTATTTCTGTAGATTAACATTTAAATATCATAAGCATATGTACACAGGTTTTAATTTTAATTAATTAACCCTGAATAATTTAACTGGTTTGTAGTATAGTTTGACAGTGAATAACTTGAATTTAATAATGCGGTTGAGTTACTTTTATCTTAATTATTATATATTTAATTTTAATTATATAAGTTTATAAATGTTTCATACTAAGCCTAGTGGCTCAACGTCCCAGGTTTTTTTTTTTATCAAAAACAATTAGAAATGATAATAAATTAACAAAATATATATAATTTTTGAGAAAATTAAAAAAAAAAAAAGATACCTGCAAATGGCTTTTCACTTGATTGGTAGTCAACCCGTCAATCTGCATATGGTCTCTTATTTGTTTGGGTGTAGCTACTGCACAAAATGACCAAAATACAAACAAACAAAAATGTGAAAAAAATAAAAAATAAACAACTGATGGGAGAATAAAGGACAATTGTCAGAGGCCAGGTCATCGTATATGCCTTGGAAAAACAAAGTCAACTACTAGAAAGAAATTCCAGATAAGTAAATAAATGAATATTTTGAAATTAATTTATATAATAACAATAATAAAAAAAATAAAAAGGTGTAAGTCTAACCTTCAGGACCTCCTAGCATATGAAGAGCCATGACAAACTTAGCATGAAGCGGTGGTGTCCATGATCTTCTATTGTTCCTCCAAATAGGTTGTGTTAATGGCTTCAGCTTAGGCTCCTCTGTTGCATTCAAATTCAAGTTCATGGGAACTTCTTCTGCCCTTGGCATTGGACCAAATAAACCAGCCTAGGAATTGTATATATATGAATATTCACAGCCATAATAATAATGCAGAACTCACAAACGCTGAACTTGGCTTGAGTGTAGACAAAAAATTGAAAGCAAATTGAGGGCCTATATGCTGATATTTTTGAAACATATATAAAATTTCAAGGAGATAAATTAAATTTCAAAACATTTTAAGGGATCAATAAAAATATTTTTGAAAATATGTGTGTATAATTTAAAGAAGAAAAATCAAATTTTGAAAAACTTCTGAGTGGAGATCCTAGCCCTAAGATGGTTTGGTTCCATAGCATGATAGTGTTTTGACTAAGTCAAACTTTTACTTTTATTGTTTATATGTTCGGCAGCGTAGCATTTGTATTAGTGTTTAAAGTTTGAGGGAGCACATTATTGAAATGTCACTCTACTTTAACGTTTAACGAAATATTAGTAAAATAATTAACAATTAATAGGATAACTAACAACTACTAAATCAATTAATTTTGTACAATAGATCTTAAATATAATGATGATAAATTCAAAATAAATAAATAAATATGCATTTACATATATACCTGTCTCTTGTCACGATGATGAGTAGGATTAGTCCATTGTTGATCAAAAGAAGGGTTATTCAAGTCTAAGAAACTCTGTTGCTCCTCAAAATCCCTCTTCTTTGTAGCTATAGCATCCTTTGCTAGGCACCTCTCAGCTGCTTCAAGCCCCATTCCAATCTTTATTTTATTAATTTCCTCTTTCAATTTCTCCACAGCTACATATTATCACACCAAAATCCCTAATTAATTATTCAAGATACGTAGATTACTCAGAAAGATATTATCAATAAAAATTTAAGATTTTTTGCCGGAACATCTCATATTTAAAAATCTCACCAAAAATATAATATGTTTATGAAAAGAAAATAGTTATCACTATTGAGGTTTATTATCTACATCTCACCCCGTGAACGATTAAACGATCATCAAAAAATATAATTCTGATATATAAAAGATCATTAAAATATATATTATCACACCAAAATCCCCTAATTAATTATTCAAGATACGTAGATTAACTCAGAAAGATATTATCAATAAAAATATTAAGATTTTTTGCCGGAACAATCTCTATTTAAAAAATCTCACCAAAAATATAATATGTTTATGAAAAAGAACAATAGTTAATCACCTTATTTGAGGCTTTATTTATCTACATCTCACCCCCGTGAACGATTAACGATCATTCAAAAAATATTAATCTGATATATAAAAGATTCATTAAAATATTATTTTAATATCTCGCCAAAAAGATGAAAAAAGCTTAATCAATTATTCGATGTTTATTGTTTATCAATAAAAATTTTAGGATTCTTTGCCGGATTGTCTTCATATTTAAAAGTTCTCGCAAAAATATATTTATTTATGCAAAAGAGAAATAGTTACATGAACTGTTTGAGTTTTATTATCCTACATCTCAACCCATGAACGATAAAACGATCATCACGAAAACTATCAATTTCGATATTATAAAAGATCATTAAAATTCTTGAATATCTCGCCAAAAATGAATTATTTATGAAAAAGAAAAAAAAGCTTAATCAACTATCAATTGTTTATTGCTTTATTCCAATAAAAACTTTAGTTATTCTCTGCCAGAACGTTGTCATTATTTAAACAATCTCGCCAAAAATATCGACTATTAGTTATGAAAAGAAATTCTTGACATCAAACTATGAGGTTTATTATCTATATCTCACCCCGTGAAACCGAGTTAAAACGTGCAATCGGAGAAAATATAATTTCGATATCATAAAGATCATTAAAATATTTTGGAAATATCTCACTTAAAAAGATCGAGATTTTATGAAAAGAAAAAAAAGCTAATGAACTATTGATGTTTTATTGTTTATCCCAATTAAAAACTTAGGATTCTTCTGCCCAAAAAAACGTGTCATATTTTAAAAAATCTCGCCACCAAAAAAATATGATATGCTTTATGAAAAGAACAATATTTCTTAATCAACTATCGAGGTTTCATTATCTATATCTCACCGCGTGAACGATATAAACGCAGCATCGCGAAAATATAATTTCGACTTCATACTAAAAGATTCATTAAAATATTTTGAATATCTCACCAAAAAGATGAGATATTTATTGAAAAAGAAAAAACGCTAACGAACTATCGATGTTTATTGTTTATCAATGAAAAAACTTTGGTTTCCTCTGCCTGGAACATGTTTATATTTAAAAATCTCACAAAAAATATGAGATATTTATGAAAAAGAACATAGTTAATTTAACTATCGAAATTATTATATATATCTCATCTTGTGAACGATTAAAACGAATCATCGGAAACAATATAATCTCTGCATATATAAAAAGATCGTTAAAATATTTGAAATACTTTTCGCCCGAAAGAAAAGATGAGATCTTTATGAAAAGAATTTAAAAAACGCTAATCAACTATAGCAAAATATTTATTGTTATATCTCAACCTGAACGCGATCTACTATGCTGAACCAACAGAAACGATCATGCGAAAATATTAATTCTGTCAACATATTTAATTTCTTCACCACTACTATATATAAAAGAATCATTATAAAATTTTAGATATCTTGCCAACAAGGATGAGATACTTAAATTGAACGGAAGAAAGCTAAACACTACTAACATCTGTTATCTATATTCTCCATCCCTTGAACCACATGAACAAGAATTCGAAAAACATAATTCCGTTTAAAACAAATTTAATGTTAATCATTATCATATATATATATATGATCATTTAAAGATTTTCTTTTAAAAAAAATACTATAAATTCATGGAAGAAAAAGAAATAAAAAAAACTAACCATCTATCAGCTAAGAGACCTTACACTGAAGGAAGGATCTTGTTTAAAAACTTTCAACCAGAAATGAGTCTCTTCTTGATACTTGAGAAGCCTGCATCATTTTAGTACCCAATTAGCTTTTACCTCATCACTCTTTCAGTCTTCGATAATATCTCTCTATTCAATTCAGATAGGCTTGGGTACATAAGATCTCAGTTTTAGACCCAAGGGCTAAGCCTCAAAAGGACTTTGAAGAACTCATTATTCATTATCAAATAATCGTTTACAAAGTCTGTATCAGACTCTTACAAGAGGAATATTATAAAAAGCCTCTTAGAAGTGACTTTATAGAAGAGCTGCGATGAGACATACTGAAAAAGAAAAAAGGAAAAACAATAAATAAGCATCTGGTATGTATCGAAAATTGGCTTCTGGATATCGCAAAAGACAAAACTGATTACAGTAGTTGATGGATTCCTTCATATATGCCAAATGACGCACACACACAACACACGCCGCACGCCCACACCACACCCCTAATAAAAAATTAAATGTACCCTTGGAACTCTTCTAGTTTATTGCCCAATTACATCCAATTTGTTGAACATTTGACAGCCAATTTTACCCAAATTATGATTTTATGCAAACTTATTAAAAAAAAGCCAGCCATTTAGGCGACAGATTTTATCGCGCCAGACATTTTTGTTGATTAATTTTTTGACAAATTAGTAGTTGCGTTACCAATAAAAAATTCATCAAAATTAAGAGCAAGATTATATAATTTTCGCATTGACCAATTATTTAATTAGATTTATAGATGAATTTTTTACTTGATTGAAATCTAAATTTTATCCAATAAAAAAGCATGTTCATACATTTGCCACTATAGTTTTACAATTTACCGACTGATTATTGACAAATACCGGATAATCATCGATTAATTTCCTATTAAAAATTTTTTTGCAATTTTTCACAAACCTAATTATAAAAACAGCAGCAAGTTCCCAAAGGGCGTACATATGAGTTCAATATTTGCTGCCTTAATTGTTTATTATTAACACAAATGATTAAAGAATGAAGAACAGTTGATGATACTTTCCTACGATGAGCGATGACTTAATTGGAGGATGAAGAAAGTTTGGTAATTATAAGTGAAAATATAAAAAAAGCCCTTAAGAGCTAGTGTAATTGATAATTAGATGGGTTTGGGCTCTTGGGTTGAATGCAAATTGTATTTAGGTTCTAACTAAACCATAACCTAAAAGTTGAGGGTTTCTAGCAAGCAAGCTTAGAAATATTCAAAGATTTATGAATAAATCAGATACATAATATTTCATTCAACAGCAATAAGAGTAAGAAAAAGAAGCAAGAAGAAATTTCCAAGAAATATATATGATCCTCCATATGACCATAAGAAGCTTGTTTGTTAAGTATTGCGCCATGATTATATTTCATAATAAAAACAATATTGGAGCAACTGTCTTCACCAAGATACTCCTTATAACGGTGGCTCAATGTCACATTTGAAGAAAATCAAGCAAAAATTGGGTTGGTGTACGTATATATGATTTACATGTCCATCAGGACGACTGCATGCGAAGTAAGAAAAGTTAGGATCAATCCATGGATTATCCAAGGCCTACCAAGAAGCAGTATTGTTTGAATACCCTAAACGAATTCTACATCGGCCTAACACAAGGTGAAAGTGATTCCACCCTTTATACATAAAAATGGACAAGCCTTAGACTAATAAAGCACATTTTCTGGATTTATAGGTCTAGGCTTTGGAACCCTGCAATAAGCCTTAGACTTCAGTTTACGTAGAATTTGTTTATTTGTTCTATTTTAAGAAGACCCTTTAGGGTCTAAACCGATTAAGCTTTAGCCAACAAAGAACAAAAAAAAAAAAAAAAAAAAAAAAAAAAAAAAAACGGTAACGAATAGGAAATTTATCCATTTTTAATTTATTATACAACTCTTATATGTTTTTGCTTGAATTTCCTTTTTTTTATATATGAGAACGGTTTATATGAGTATAGTCTGTAATGACCTTAGTGCGTTGAATTGTTATAATATTCATTTACTATCAGCTGCACGAATTGTTAAAAAAAAAAAAAAAAAAACGATTTGCGGTCAAGTCTTTAAAATAAGGTGAGTAAAAGATTTCATACAAGTCATTAAAGTCAAATTACAGCCCATCGGCTCTGATGAATTGATATGATTCTTTTAAGGAAAAACTTTGAAAAAACCATAATTAACATGTAAGTTGTTAATGTTAGCCATTTGGGAAGATGGTCAACCTTTCTAATAACTTTAGAACTGCATTTGCGTGCATGTAATTATAAAAAGTACCTAACCTACTATAAGGAAATAATGTTAATAAAAGAAAAATTTTTTAAATAAAATCAATTAATAGATTGAAAAAATTTCTTATCTTAGACGGCTACTTAAAATTACATAAATAAATAAAATAAATTCATATTTTTTACTTTAGCGTCCGATCCTTTTTGGTCCAATTATATTAAAAAAATAAAATTAATATGTGGGGAATCAGTTAAAAATCTTTATTATATCTGCTTTATGTTGAAAAATATCCCATATTTACAAGACACCAATTTACTTGCCAAGCGTGTGAGAGGTAGTGAACTATATTCACAAATAAGAAAAACTCAAAAATCTGAAAAAAAAACAAAGAAAAGAAAGCAAATTCTGAAAATAGAGATTCCGAACTCAGCCTTCTTTTCAAGATATTTTTTATTTCAGCCGATTACATTACATATACATAGATACTCACGAAAATATCTACATTTTACTCAACCAAACTCTTCTGAATTTATGTTCTTCCTCAATATTTTATCCTTACATTGAAATTAATTAAAATCATATGGCCTAAAATAAATATTTAACTACAGGAATTTGCTGAGCTCCA